CCGACCCACTCTTAAGCGCCAGACGTCGGAATCGTGTTGCAAGGTGGTCGTGAAATCGGTCAATATGACCACAAAGTTGCTATCCAACGAATATCCCAAGATCAATTCCACCTCACCCATCCATTCCTCGGCTTTGGTGATATTGCCTTCGATAATCGGCGCGTGAATTGGGCGCATTTCAATCAGTCGTTCGACAGTGATGGTTACCAATGTGTGTATGTAACCGGACTGATCGTTGTCAACATGATGTCCACCGACGGCAATTGTATGCTGGCCTTGCTTGCCGTAGAAGTCGATGGTGTTCCGGGGCAACGTTGTCACCGATCGTTCGTTTGCCATCACCGTGGTTATCGGTTCTCGCCATCGTTGCCAATACCACACGCGCGGTTAAGACTGCTCATTTGCGGCGTAGAACTGTATCAGCTTCGGTACACGAGCTTGCAACATGGTCAATGTAACGACGGTTCCCCACTATTCGAATGACAAAACGGCTCTTCTTCTGCGGATTTTCTTGTTGCTAAAAAAAAACAAAAAAAACAACACAAAAGAAATCATCAATTGCTGTCTGAATTGCTCTCATTCGTTCATCCATCGTTTGTGTGGGTTTTCTTTTTGTATGCCCCTTCTGTGTTTGACAGCACCAGAAAAAATTGCCATTCTCCATACAAACGAACCGTGTTGTTTTGCTTCAACTTTTTTTTTCTCTGCAATTCCACAAGAAAACAACTCACCGCTTGTCGTCCGGTACAATTCCAATTTTCTGCTCACTAAATGCGTGTTTCACAATTTAATTTTGGTTTCCCTGGTTATTTTCGGCGAATTCACGATTGCAAATGAACGAGAAAAAAGAAACCATGTGTATGCGGCGGATTACACTGACATCGGATGGTTTGACAGTTTCAATCTCATTTATGCGGCTGCCGTAATTTCCTAGCGCATGTGTATGTATTCAAGATGGATTCGTGCTTTTGGTGCGGTTTGTACTGGGGGCTTCACGCGATTTTGCAGAACGCAAATAACTCTGAAAAAATAAAAATAATGGTGAATCAAACCTTCAACCGAAAATTTGAACCACTTTTGAAGGTTTTTGGTGGATAACGATGAATGTTGGAACATTTTTTGACGATACAATCTGCACAAATTTACTGGTATGCACGACAATCTCAAATATCTATGTATACTTAATAATATTCATTAGACTGTAATGTCAAAAAATGTTCCAATATTCACCGTTATCTACCAAAATCAATCAAATTTAGGGTTGAAGGATTGATTCACTATTATTTTTATTTTTCATACGTATAAACGTAAATTTGGCATATCTATGTATATTCAGTAATATTCATTTGTCGTTCACGATGAATATTGTTGAATATACATGGATATTTCGGATTCACATGCATACCATTGAATTTCTAACAGAGCTGATATACGCACCGGAAGATGGCGTGCACCACAATTGGTGCCTGCCTTCACTTCAAGTGCCGGCACCTAAGTTCATATAAAACTCAAGTGCGGCACCTGAGCATATTTTTATTGAATTTCTATTCATAAAAAAACAAAAATATAATAACAATAATGAAGAATGATAGTAGAAATGCATAAAAAAAATATACGACACCGAAAATTATTAAATTTGTTTGCGCATTGTAATACGGATTGATACGTATTCATTTCATACGTAATTCCATCTGACACTTTGACAGCAGAGAGTTTGACAACATGACAAATGAAGGAAAAAATGTTTCAGTTCGATTTATATTTGGACCACCAGCGTAGTGATCCCGTTAGACTTCGATTGTAAACAATAAACAATTTGTCAATACAAAAGTGATGAGCATGGAGAATATAACTCACAAAGTAGGCTGCTACCGTTGGATTAAGATCTATAAACCACCACCGACTGCATTGTTATTATACTTTGGAGCGTACATCACAGCGATCGTGTGTGGATTTGTGTGTTCATCGAAAGTGTCATTGCCCATTCAATATAAATTTGTGAGCATTTTTCATCGTCAGTGCCAACAATTTAATGAAATCGTCGAGACAAAAGAGAAAATGCCGAATAAAAAAAATACGTCTAGTCAGAATTCAGCCACAGAAACGAAAGAAAGTCGACCAAGAGGTAGACCAAGAAGAAATGCAAAACCTTCAACCAAACTGGACGAGTTTGAAACAAACATTTGTCTTGATACATCGTTGCCGAAAAGAAGTGGTATGAAATGCGTGAAAATAGAAATGATAAATTGAAAATCTATATTTAATGTACAGTTTCAGGACCAACGCAAGCAAAACAGCGCAAAACCCAAGCCTGTAACGAAATACCAAAGCAACAATCCACACTCGACGATTCAACTGGTGATGTTTTAATGATAAATTCAACGAAATTGGATGCAACACTGAAAAAAGGAAAGGGAACGAATGGTCATTCACACAGCAAAGATCGTTCTTTTGTTCCATCTGAAGAAGAAAGTTCGTTAGCTTCGTTAGTTCTCTCAATCCAGGACTATGACTCAGAGATCGAAGATCCAGATCAGAGAAAAAAGAAACAACTCCCGGTGAACAGAGCTACCAGAAAGCGAAAATTGCGACCAGACGATGAACGCACATTGAAATTGCTAACCGAAAAATTCCGAAACAGTCAAAATGGTGTTGTGTGTCAGATTCCAGCTTGCAAATCAAAGCCAATGAAAAGCACAAAGCCATCAAATTTGAAGCGACATATTTCTCAAGTACACCCAAAGGTATACGCAGCTTTATTCCCGCATGAAGTGAGTGCAAAAAAGCGAGCCGAATTAGAAGCGTTCAATGCCGTTCAAGATGCTATCGAATTAGTTACGGTGAATGGGCATGCTTTTTCCGTACTAAGCGCATCTGGAATGAAAGGCTATATCAAATCACGCGTTGAAGCAATTCGAACCGAAGGAGGTATTTTTGACAATCCGATAAATCGATTGAGTATAGTGAAGCTTGTAGCGGAAGAGAGTCAGCTAGTTAAAGAACGAATAGCAGAGGAACTAAAAGGGAAAACAATTTCAATCATGTTTGATGTTTGTACGAATGCAACACTCTCCATGCTGTGTGTTCAAGCTGTTTACATGAAAGGTTCGCAAGTCGTCTGTCGAACTCTTGGTGTGATCCAAATTGAAGTGCGTCACACATCAGTGAACCTTGCCAACATGGTGTTCGATATTCTTGCTGAATTCGATGTGAACTTGCCAAAAGTCCTTTCCATCACTACAGACACAGCGAAAAATGCAACCGCTACCACTAATGTCTTGAATCTGGTTGTGAGCAACAGTGAAAAGTCCATCGATAATAATATTGCTGAGGAAAGTTTTTTTGACATCGACTCTGATGAAGAGGATGATGGATTAGAGTTCGGGCTTGACATCGAAAATGAAGCTGAACTTCAGAAGGTCATTGACAATGTGGCTGCTCAAACACTGCTGGTCAAAGAAATGGTGGAGAGTATTGGTCGTGAAAACAATTCAATTGTGGTTATCAACCAAATAAACTGTGGTACACACGTATTTCAACTCGCCGCAAATGGCGCTTTGGAGGAATCCAATTCAACTGACACAATCGGGATTGTCCATGACATGTGTATCCTCATGAGGACGCAAATAGTAATGATTGAACTTCGGAAACTGGGAAGCAAAGTAATTTTGCCACCGTTGGACAATGCTACCCGCTGGAACTCAAAGTTCACAATGGTAAGTAATTAATGTAGAAATTTAAAAAAAAACTAAAGTTGCAAGCGTCTAATTACTCTATTAATTGTTTGCAGTGCCGTGATTTTCTCAAAATGAAAGATATTGTCATTCGATTGGCCGAGAATGCCGAATTCGGCTACAAGTTTGAAAACAATGAATTGTTTTGGAGAAAAGTTGAAGAAATAGTTGAAGTTCTTTCATCGTCTTATGACCTGACGATAGAAATGCAAGGAGTGGGATATGGGTTGGCAAGTCTGTACATCGGATGGTTACGCGTGCAAAAAAGACTGCAACGCATCGTGAAAAAGCAACCCATGTTTGACTTAGCACAAAAACTGATCGATAACATGGAGCAACGAGCAAAATCATTGTTCAAATCACCGCTGTTCCTGTGTTCGGTTTATCTTGACCCGCGTATCAATTTTAAATTGACTGACGAACAAAGAGCATCTGCAGCAATGTGTCTGGTGAAGATATTCGAAAGAGAAATGGCTAGTCAGTTGATTGCGAACAAAGAAAATCGAATAAACGACACACTCGATGAGATTCAAGATGAGTATCACAGTCAGCAGAATGAAGAACAGAGCAGCACAAATCGCTTACTCAAAGAGATGTCAGTGTATGAAACCGAAACACCATTCGATATCAAAGCGGAAGTTATGCAGTTTTGGACAGAAAAATCACACATTTATCCGGTACTCCGACCACTTGCTGATCTTCTACACGCTGTACCCTCAAACCAATGTCGAACCGAAGCTGCATTCTCATCCTTATCTTACATTCGAAACCGATACCGTATGTCAATGCAGTCTAAAAATATTTCGAATATTTTGATGGTTCGATTAAATAAAGATATTTACTATGAACTTCGGGAGGAGCGTATTCAGAAGATTTTAGGCTAGAATAAGAAGATTTTCTTACCATGATCAACAACAACGGTGCATTTAAATAAATTTATCTAAAAAATACCCAAAGTAAAGAAGTGCAATTGATGCTTAGTTTCAATTAAAAAGAATAGTTTACTTAGTTTCTAGTTTTGAAGTGTGCAGAAATAAATATATTGTTGTTACGTTGCTAGCTTGAAATTCCAAATAAAAAATAAAATTTTACATAAAAATATTGCCAACCAAGCGATGGTATCATAAATTATGATAAAATGTGCATTTGATCAAGTCAATAAAGTAGCATTTTTGTTTACAAGAAAAACACAATCATTTTATTCTTGTTTACATAATCTTCATCGAATTGTACATTTCAATACTAAATTTCTTGTTGATTCAATTAGTTCTCAGCTCATTACATTTGGTTTGCACGTGTTTTTTGAAGTTTTCCATTCGCAATTTGTCCCGGCCCACACGTTGTTTGTAGAAATCTTGAAAAGAAGTAGTCTCTGTTAGTTTTATTTATATTTTTCAAAACTAAATTCAATGAAACTCACATTTAACAATCTTTAAAAGATCCAAATCGAATTGTTTTTGTTTCAAATTGTTGACACTGAACACAGAAAGGAGAAGCATCTCAACGAATGTTTTATCGATGTTGACGTTCTCCTTGCAAGTAGGACTTTTGTTGTAGTACAAAAGTCTATCAACTATTTCTTTTGTCAGTTTGAATCGTTGGCCATTATTTGCAGTGTAAATGCGGTCCCCTTTTGGCTGCAAAAAATAATGAAGTGCATTTTTTTACAAACATTTTCCAAAAATAATTCCGTTTCCATTACCGTGCTCATGAAGGCGAATCGTCCTGAAATCACATCAAGTTCCTTGATTGGTCGATGTCGTATGGCATGCCCACGGTCTGTCAAACAAATGACGTCTTCTGTTGAACTATCTACAGCATTCTGATGTGCATCGGTTTCACATCTTTCTGAAACATCACTTATTGGTGAATTTGGTGGTGTATGTAAGACCGTAGGCGACGTGGTGTCTGCGACACTTATTGATGTGATTGTCACAACTTTTGGTCGTTGCTGTTGTGGTTGTTGTTGTTGTTGTTGTTGCTTTTCTTGGACTCTCTGTTGTGAACTTTTGCCCGACGTGTGTTTTCCTAGTGCACTTCGGTTTATTTGTCTAGCCGGCAGTGGTTTTTCATTCAGTCGCCGCATATTGTAAACGGCCGGATCGATTCTTCGTCGACTGTTTTTATACTGCGTTGCCTCTTGACGGTTTCCTATTGAAAACATTTTTCGTTATGGATCTGCCAAAAACTTGAAATTCAAAAGTAGTAAGTGATTTATTTATACTAACCGAAAACCTTCAGCAATCTGACGTTGTAGCATGCTTCATTATTTTCATCAAACCGGTGAGAAATAGGCAAATTGAAATTTGGAACAGCTGTGAAATTCTTCGACCAAAACAAAACGTGAACCTGGTTACGATTGATGCGGTTGTTAAGCGATTTTGCAAGATTCAGTTTGAAAACATTTCGTAGCGGAACTACTACTACTTTAGGATAATTACATATTTTTGCAACGACAGTCAAATTTTCCATATTATTTATTTTATTTTCGATATATACATATTGGGTCTGGGAATTAATCGTGTCGATTTTTCAAAAGGTGGCGTAACTTTGCATGGTTGTATCGGGCAATACTTTTTTCTTTTTCACATGAGTGGTCTAGTGTCAAACTACAAAAATCATCATCTATCATTTCATCGAAGTTTGGATAAACATTTTTTTTTGCGCCTTAAATATGTCAAATTTTGTACCGAAAAAGCAACATTTCCCGCAAGCATTAATTTTTGGCTTTCATTTGAAGAAAACTGCGGCTGAAGCGCATCGAATGTTGGTGGAAGCCTATGGTGAGCATGCTCCATCGGAACGTACATGTGAACGGTGGTTTTCACGGTTCAAAAGTGGTGATTTTAGCACGGAAGACAAGGAACGTCCCGGCCAGCCAAAAAAGTTTGAAGATGCGGAATTGGAGGCATTGCTCGATGAAGATTCGAGTCAAACTCAAGATGAGCTTGCCAGAGCATTGAATGTTGACCGAAGCACTGTTGGATATCGTTTAAGGGCCCTTGGTTTCATTCGCAAGTTGTCAAATTGGGTACCACATGAATTGACGCCGGCTCAAGCTGAAAGGCGTTTGGTGACTTGCGAAATGCTGCTCGCTAGGCACAAAAAAAGAGGTTTTCTGTATCGAATTGTCACTGGTGGCGAAAAATGGATTCATTACGATAACCCCAAGCGCAAAGCATCGTATGTTAAGCCCGGCCAACCAGCAACATCACAGCCAAAACAAGAAATTCACGGCGACAAGGTAATGCTGTCTATTTAGAGAAGTGGTCAAACCATCGATGGGCCTTTCTACCGACAACAATTGATACGTTTGAAACAAGCAATCAAAGAAAAACGCACGAAATGGGAGACCAGAAAAGAGACATTGATTTTCCTACATGACAATGCTCGGCCACACATTGAGAAATCGGTCAAAAACTACTTGGAAAATAGCGGATGGGAAGTTTTGGCTCACGCCCCGTATAGCCCAGACCTGGCTCCTTCCGACTACCATTTGTTTCGATCGATGCAAAACCATATGGACGGAGAGCGGTTCTCTTCAGTTGAAGAAATCCAAAATTGGCTCGATGCATTTATAGCCTCAAAAGATGAGGAATTTTTTAAGGCAGGCATCCGTCAATTGCCCACATTGTGGCAGAAGGTCATCGCTTCCGATGGACAATATTTTGATTGAAATGTAATTTCATTTTGGTATTCAAATAAATGTTTGAAAATTTAAAAAAATCGACAAAACTAATTCCCAGACCCAATAGAAAAAATCTCTTCAAAATATAAAACTATGTTAATGAAACATGCTACTGAACGAATTCGTCTTTTCGAATGTTTCAATCGAAAGTCGTAATGTCAGATGTAAAGTCAAACTGTCAGACGAAATTGACGTATGTAATGAATACGTATCAATCCGTATTACAATGCGCAAACAAATTTAATAATTTTCGGTGTCGTATATTTTTTTTATGCATTTCTACTATCATTCTTCATTATTGTTATTATATTTTTGTTTTTTTATGAATAAAAATTCAATAAAAATATGCTCAGGTGCCGCACTTGAGTTTTATATGAACTTAGGTGCCGGCACTTGAAGTGAAGGCAGGCACCAATTGTGGTGCGCGCCATCTTCCGGTGCGTATATCAGCTCTGATTTCTAAGTTATTACTTGATGCGTGCGGATATAAACGATGAAAAAAATGATTTTTCCCCCTAGGGTTTGTACCATGCTCGCCTGCTATAAATCATATTGCAGTGGCGGGCGTTCTCCACTTGTTTCCATTGTTTTGGTCGGCCATTGTGTGATTCCGACCAATCAGATCGGGCTTTGATTCCGTGATTCTATGCTGGACGGCATTATCGCAGTTTGAACCAATCACAGAGCTCCGTTGATAGGCTACTCTGTCAAGCCTACTCAAACACTCACACCAGACGTGTGCAAGGGGGGGTTATTCCGGTTTTACCCCCCCTCTAGGATTCCAAAATGTGGACCCCCCCCCCAGCGATGTGGAAAAATTTACACTAGATATAATCGATTTTCAAAAGTGAGGACCTTTTTTTTTTTTTTAGTCCTCACTTTTTTCGGAGACTGGTTTTACACTAGATATAATCGATTTCCAAACCCCCCTGGCAAAATCATTTTACCCCCCCTAGAATTTTTGACCTTGCACACGTCTGACTCACACGATGCTTTTCGTTGCCGTCTGTGTGAAACGTCTCGAGATTGAAAACAACTGATGTTTGTCACACTCAAATCGAATGCACTCTGGATTCAAGTGTACAGATTTACATTTTCGATATGTTATCAATATGTTATTGCCCGACATATTTATTATTATGTTATGTTGGGATTTTTTTTATCTTAATAACGTTATTAAGATTCAGCATAATAATAACATAATATGTCATGCGTTATATCGGGTGTTATCTTAATAAATCCTAAGATTCGGTGGTAATAACATTTTATTAACTATAATAATAACATATTATTAAGATGGATTTATTAACTCAATTAATAACATATTATTAAGATGCAATCTTAATAACGCTTTTTTCGCGCATTCTTTTCCCTAGCTGGAGAGAAAGAAAGCACTGTACGATGTACACACCTATAACAATGCAGACAAAATATGGTAAATTGATCCTTTCAAGGTCGGGACTGGCGATTTCCTAAACTTAATGGTTAAGTTCAATACATGATAATTCCGTTTCAAAGAGTCATTTTAATTTCATTGCAACAGTGCAAAAAATTCATGTGTGTAATCCGCAGAGAAAAAACAACTTGTCAGTGCTCCGGCGAAAAAAATGCGCGAAAAAAGTGTTATTAAGATTGCATCTTAATAATATGTTATTAATTGAGTTAATAAATCCATCTTAATAATATGTTATTATTATAGTTAATAAAATGTTATTACCGCCGAATCTTAGGATTTATTAAGATAACACCCGATATAACGCATAACATATTATGTTATTATTATGCTGAATCTTAATAACTTTATTATTATGTTATGTTGGACCAATATATCGGCCGTTATTATTATGTTATTAAGTATAATTAATAATATGTTATTGCCTGTAAATCTGTATTCAAGTGTTCATATCGATTTGGATGCGAGTCAATGCTATTTTAATTTCATTGTTTTCTTCTTTTAATTTATTTTGGTGTTTACTCCAGCTGACAGAACATTAATCCGCAGCTTCCTTCGACATTTTGAGTGGACTATGGATTTTACTGAGGGAATGAGGTTTCTTTCTTCTGCAGACCAATCGAGGAAAAAAATGACTTTGTTGTTGACATTGTGTTCGGTGTACCGTTTTCGCTGGTGTATTTTGTGGCCGTAAAAAGCATTTCCGCGGCTTTTTGGATGAATTTGTGTTATTCAACGACAGTATTTTACCCAGCAAGTGGAGAATATTAATTCTGTGTGTTTGCTCCCTTTGTTTTAGGTTACTCGAACCATCGTTGATGCTTAGCAACATGTGATGCATTTGGATTTGCTTTGAATTGGCATCGTGTGGACCTCATGATGTGTTTTCTTTGTTGTTGTTTCCTTTTCTTTTGATTGCCACCCAAAACAGAGAGAGAAAAAACTCATGTAACCTGGTTGAAAGGCCTTCTCTCTGTGGTTTCCAAGTGGTTAGCTCTTTCATTGCCAACAAACTTCGTTTTTTTTCTTTTCGTGTGTCACCCGACTGGACGTTTATTGTGATGCGGTTATTCTTTGTTGTGGATAAAACTCGGCGGCATTTTGTACGACTGTTCATGTGGTAGAGTGTATTGTGCTGTGCCCGGCGGCATTTCTTTGTCGTTTCGCTCGGATTCCATATCATTTGCTGGTGTGTATTTGTTTTTTCTGTTCCTTCCTTAAACACACACCACTGCTTTCTGTCGCTTGATTTAGTTTTCAATGAGTTTTCTTCCGGTGCACTTACCGGTGGTGGTACCCAACTTGGGATCTACAACTTTGCTTCAGACACTATCCCCCTATATACCTCCTCCAGGGCTTATATTTGGATCCATATAAAATCTTACCTCACTTCTCACCATATGTTCAGGGTATATCTCAAAACCTAGGGTAGATAGGAGCATACTATCTTCGGAGGATTTGTAGCGCCCATCAAGCCCGACAAACTAGGCTAGGCCTCACTTTGATATCTCTATCCCAATGGGCTCAAAACCGAACAAATATAGATTTTTTTATACATTTGTATGGGAAATCCCCCGAAAAGCCATTTTTCAGTGTTTTGGTCAAGCCAAACTGTTATTTTTTGTGAGAAAAATGTGGATTTTCAAACAATCGAACAGCTACTTACCCATAAATTTGATCTAAAATCGACATTTCTTGAGATTTTCCTCAAAAATGACACAAAAGTATCGAAAATTATCAAAATATCGATTTTTCAAGGTGCTAATAAAACCACTATTTTTTCGAAAAAATGATCACGAATATCTTAATAAAAGGCAGAAAAAAACCTTCACTATTGTTCTATATCAACATCTCCAATGTAATTAAGCCAACACATGTCGTTTTGCAATCCATTGAATTTTTAGTGAAACCTTAAGCTGAAAATAAGAAAAAATGTGTTTTTAATTTGTACGTCTTTATTAAACCGAAGCATGTTCTACAACTTGAGGTTGCAAATCTTGTTTGGTTCTGAACTTTGGCATTTGATTTCGCGATTGCAGCGTGTTCAGTATATACCCGTTTCTATTTTCGGGGCCAGAGATCGCTGCGGAAGCCTCGGTTACGAGCTTCACGCAGCGCTCGACTGCTTGTGTGTGGCAAGGGATTTCGTTTAGATCTAATCCGAGATCATGCTGTAATAGCTTCTTCTCGGCTTAAGTCTTGGGATCGTCGGAATCAAACTTCATCTTCCGTAGAATCGGGGGCATGGTTTTCGCTTCATTTTCCCAATCGATCAACTCTTTGTAACTTTTAGCCTGAACATTGAACAATCGGAAATAATATAAATTTATTACAAATTTGAAACCGATTGCTTCATTTTTCATGCATCGTTGGTTTTGTTCCCGGTGTGAATGAAGTTAACATACCTCGAAATCCACTTGAGGTGGCCTGAATTTGCGAACGCGTGCAGTATCAACTTCTTGATTTCTTATTTCCAAAACTTTCCTCCAGCCCTTTTCTCTCGTTCGTTCATTGTCATCATTCAAAATAGCCAGCAATACGTTTTCGGGATGTGCAAAAAATGCGTTGGTTTGAATTGTGTCGCGTACTGATGACTTATATTTGCCTTGCAGGAAGCTACAATTCATCACAACATTGGTGAGATGTACTGCGCCAAAAACGCACGAAGACTTCGCTTTTATATTGAAGTGAGTAGGCGCATAAATTTCGGGAGGTTTCTTTGTCGATATGTACAGGCGACATAATCTGTTTGCCAGCGTTATGAATCGTGAATGTGACAATTTTCCGGGAGAACGGTTTGCGAAATTCGAATCACAAAACCCATTCGATATTATTGAGCACGCGTCGTAAAGGTAGCGCTGATCTGTGCTCAATGATTTTGATATTTCCGACAGTTCTACCTCACATTTAAATGGAATCGATCGAAATTCAACAACATCGTGGAGTTCACAATCGACCAATCGCTCACCAATAAGTCCGGTGTATGTCTTAGGTCCGTTCGTTCCATCATCAAGCGTCTTTAGCATATTGCGGAGGGGAAGCTCGTTGAAATGTAGTAAACATATCAGCCATAGTGGTCGCCCCAGCTCCTTCTCGATGAGTACAATTACTCCTCCAATATGGCCAATGTTTACTGGACATCCATCGGAGCCGGCTACCAAGAGTTCTTTGATTAATATCGAATGGTCCTCCAGATATCGTAGCATGTCGGTTTTAACTTGTAGAGCATTGCCTCTTTCCGCAGCCACGTAACCAATATACTTTGAACCCGGCTGCTGTACCATAGAAAAACGCTCTTCTTTTCTCGTCACAATTTTGTTGTTTTCGTACACTTTTGTCGAGTCCTTTCTGCCATCAAAGTAAAGGGCCAATAGTGGCATTCTGTTGTTCTGCTGTGTGTTTATCGTTTTTTGTCGTTCATGTATCCGATGTCTTCTGACCTTGTTCGAATCTATCACATATTTGGCATTTTCATGATCAATAACGTTATAGTCCATCAATATTGCATTTCCGAGAGCTGCGACGACTGTGTTTGAAATGTGGTACCGATCGGCAGTTCGTGAAGTGTGGATTAATTTCACATTATTTCTTTGAGATCGGTCGATATTTTCAGCAAAAACATCCCGAGAACGACCATTGCGAACGGTACGCTCCATGTTTGATTCGGTTTCACAAATGATTGGTGCATTGATTTGACTTTCAAGTTCATCATAGTTTTGATCTAATAACGGTTCTTCGTTTGCTGGAACACTTTCAGGCAGTGTGAATATATTTTGCGCAAGTACGCTTGAAATAGATATTTTCCGACAATTACGTTGGTCGGAGATGAACTTTTGCAGTGTGTTTGGAATTTTTCTTTCATTTGAACAACAACACCGTTTGAACGAGTTACATTTGCAAGTCGAAAAATCGAAAAGTTGACTCGAAGCGTTCTACAACAATCGACAATCAAATACAAACGATAACCAAAACACTGAAAAATGGCTTTTCGGGGGATTTCCCATACAAATGTATAAAAAAATCTATATTTGTTCGGTTTTGAGTCCATTGTGATAGAGATATCAAAGTGAAGCCTAGCCTAGTTTGTCGGGCTTGATGGGCGCTACAAATCCTCCGAAGACAGTATGCTCCTATCTACCCTAGGTTTTGAGATATACCCTGAACATATGGTGAGAAGTGAGGTAAGATTTTATATGGACCCAAATATAAGCCCTGGAGGAGGTATATAGGGGGATAGTGTCTGAGGCAAAGTTGTAGACCCCAACATGCGCTACAACATTGCTTATCATACTTAGGTGGTATCATGTGTTAAATTGGGACTTATACCACGTCGAAAATCGGAAAACTTTGGTCTAGCCGGGCCATCCAGGGTGTCCATATATCGAAAAATTCCCGAACAAAAGTTGCTTCTTTTAAGGCCATAAATTCAACGCCCCACCCCCATTTAAAATCCACACTAGATTTCAATGTCGATGCACCCTATTGAATAGTCGACCATTTACTAAGTTTTCAAGCGATAGCACATTGTTACCAAGTTTGACATCACAAAAATTCAATTCGAAAAATGCAAACTCTTCAAGATATTGCAAATACTGTTTTGGGCGATTTTCAGTGGGACCAACACTTATTGAGGAACCAAACATTCACCGATTTTCAAGTGTAAGTATTTATGTAGTGATTATGTATTACATGAAAAAATAGAACAAACAATAAAACTAATAGTTCATATTAATTATAGCGACGACAGTTTGGTGAGAGGTTTGCGCAATTTGGGCATTACAAGATGCTCTCAAATCCAGGTTAAAATGTTTGCCGGTTTGCTGCAACGCAATAACATTTTTGCTCGCGGACAAACGGGATGCGGTAAAACTTTGGGCGCTCTCATCTCTGTTCTCACGCGAATTATTCGCGATAACGCCAAACCACAAGCGGTTATCATTTGCTCGACTCGTGAGGCTTCAGTTCAATTACATGAACTCGCAATCGCATTGGCATCTGAAATCACAGTGGAAACAGTGATTCAGAGCGAAAATGGTAAGTTTGATTATATATTTTATTCAATCTTTCCAAAATACATACAGTGTCGTGCAAAATAGAGTACGATTGAATAAATCAATTTTTTCCAATTACAATTGGTATCACTTCAAAAGGTGAATGCCCAGGTGATTATTGGCACACCAAAAGAAATAGACCAAGAGCTGTTGAACATAGTACTATAAATACAAGCTTTATGTCAGATAATGGAATTGTAAGTGCACATTGGTGCCAATATTCAAAATATCAATTTGTTTTATCTTCATTTGATACACATCACAATATCTGCTCGCCGATAACAAGAAAAAAAATTGCTTCACTTTTCGCTCAAGCTTTATTGCAGAATTTTTGTGTACTGATAAATTCGTACGAGAATAATTCAAACACAAAAAATCTGCTCCAAACATTGTACACAACATTTTTTATTTCACATCAAAGTCTCATTCAATTCAAAGAAGTGAGGTTATGTTGTAATCATGTCATAATGGATAAAATGCATTACAAACACATAACCTCACTTCTTTGGATAGAATGAGACTTTGATGTGAAATAAAAAATGTTGTGTACAATGTTTGGAGCAGATTTTTTGGTGTTTGAATTATTCTCGTACGAATTTATCAGTAAACAAAAATTCTGCCATAAAGCTTGAGCGAAAAGTGAAGCAATTTTTTTTCTTGTTATCGGCGAGCAGATATTATGACGTGTATCAAATGAAGATAAAACAATATGATATTTTGAATATTGGCACCAATATGCACCTACAATTTCATTATCTGACATGAAGCTTGTATAGTAAGTACTTTGTTCAACAGCTCTTGGTCTAAAATGGCATCCTTTTCAATTATGCGCTGTTTCGACATCGAAACAATAGGCATGCTCCTATTGGATGATGTCGATGTGATCAATGCGACCGATTTGGTGCGAAAGCACATAACGGAGAAGTTGCACCCAGATGCATTGCGTATATTCACTTCACTGCGAGCAAGTGCGTCGGCCATAGCTGGCCTGGGCTTTGACATTGTGTCAGACTGTCAACTTCCAAATATTACTCAAACCTACATATAGTTTTCCTAACATTTTTCGATTTTTTTCAGTAAAAGTGTTTTTAACAAAATTCGATTTTAAAATTTTGAGGTTTTGGAATTGAATTTTGTTCAGTTTTCCATGAAGAATTTTATGGTGGTTTCAGTTTTCATTTATGATGAGTCGTTTTGAAAAATTTGCCAGGTTAATAACGAAAATATGTTATTAATATGTTAATAAGATCGGTATCTTATTAACTAGCATTTTTGGGTTAATTTTTCAAAATGCTCAATCGAAGCTTCAAACTGAAACCACCACAAAATTCTTCGTGAGAAACTAAACAAAACCCGAATTTAAAACCCCAGAATTTCAAAATCAAATTTTGTTGAAAAACACTTTTCCTGAAAAAAATCGAAATATGTTAGGAAAACTATAAACCTACATGATGTGCCATTCGATTGTGCAAAAAATCTATGCTGTTATTGCTGCCCACAAATTGCTGCAAAATTCCAACGCACAAGGCATAATATTTTGTCGGGTATGATATTTTTTATTCAAGTTGAAAAGGTTTTTTTGATCAATTTGATTTTTGCTTAATTTTAAATTGTATTACAATTTGTTTTTGTTCCACAGACACGTGAGACCATTGAATTATGCGTGCCGATTCTGAAACTCAAAGGGTGCTCGATTTCAATGATTCATAGCCGAATGTCAACGGATGCGCGTGCAGCTGCAATGGACATGTTTCAATCGGGTGAATCCACATTGATGATGTCCACCAATTTATTGACCCGTGGAATGGACTTCCCGCCTGTTCGCATCGTGGTCAATTTTGACTTGCCGGATGATCCAAAGAGGAAGACATTCGACGGAAAGGCATACGAATCTCGTATTGGAAGATCCGCTCGTTTTGGTAATAAGCAAACTTAGCTACTAGCTCGAATATGTAATACATAAATTAAAAAAACCTGCATATAATATATTTTCCCTTATTTTCAGGGCTGGAATTCTAAGTCATTCCACCAAAATCGTTCGGAATTATTTTTTTCGTACATAAGACCATATTGGAGTGAAAGAGAGAGATTCAACTATTTTTCAGCGTGCCACCGGAATTATCCCGATAACTCAAGGAAGAGTGGATTGTGTGAGAAATAATTCCGGTGGCATGCTGAAAAATAGTGGAATCTCTCTCTTTCACTTCAATATGGTCTTATGTACGAAAAAAATAATTCCGAACCATTTTGGTGGAATGACTTAGAATTCCAGCCCAGGTCGATCTGGTTTGGCTCTTAATTTAGTATGCGGCGACGACATCGCAAACTTGCGAAATTTAAATGCAGCAGAAATTAGCCTTTAATCTGATGTTTCATTTAACAGCTCAGTTTGTGAAATATATTATATGACGGCCTGAGAAGAAAAACCTTTCCTACAAAACCTGTGCGCAGAACACAAACACAGAAATTTTTTAGTCAAAAGGCGAACAGCAAATTCGCGAGCGCAAAAACCTAATGTATTTACAGCGAGCGCAAAAGCATAACAGGCCTACTTATACGGAGTTTACATGCTAGTAGGCTTGTTATACTTTTGCGCTCGCTGTAAGTATATTAGGTTTTTGCGCTCGCAAATTTACTGTTCGCCTTTTGACTAAAAAATTTCTGTGTTTGTGTTCTGCGCACAGGTTTTGTAGGAAAGGTTCTTCTTCTCAGGCCGTCATATGAAAAAAATTAAAAATATAAGTGACTAACTATAATAAATTGAGATTTTTTTTGCATATACACAAACGAACAGTTTGTGTTCGTTCGTGTTCGTTCGTACTTGTTCGTGTTCGTCAGCCCACGAACACGAACGAACGCGAACAGAAAAATAAAAAATCTCACGAACACGAACAGTTCGCGAACTGTTCGTGGCCAGCTTTAGTCCAAAAGTGTTTAGTCAATTCTTTGTGTAATGTGGTCAGATTTTTTTCTCGATTATATAGGAATTTTGGATCGGAAATATAGGAGAATATAGGACATTGTGCATGTTTTCATTCATAATATAGGACTACAAGAAAAGACCGTCAAATTGTGTGCTAATAACACATAATGCATGTTGTTTTTACAGCATTTTCGTGTTTTTTTGTTTTTTCATGTTGTGACAATGCACCTTCACCTCTGCAAATGCAACAAATATCCAATTGATTGGATAAATATCCGATTGATTTTAAAATGCAATTAAAATCAATCGGATGTTTATCCAAACCATTAATAATATATATTTCCTGAAAGAGGAAATCTCCCACTAATTTTCAGTAAAATTTAAGAAAAAAATTAGATAGAGTTTCGTCGTAATTCAATTTCATTCAATTCAACATTGATGAACGGGCAAGGGTCTACTATTTCTGGGGAAATAATTTCTGAGCACTAGGAAATAATTTCTAATAAGTTTGGAAATAATTCCTAAGAAATTATTTCTAAGGAAAATATTCCTAGAAATAGTGTTAGAGGAAGATAGTGTCAATATTCCTAGAAATACTTTAACTAGAGATATTTGATTCAATTTAAAGTTGTATTGTAAAGGTGCGCC